ACACCGCCGTGCTGCAGTGGGCGCTCGACTGAGACACCTCACACCTCACACACCGCGACCCAGGACCTCACACACCGTGACTCGACCTCATACTCCGTGACTCAACCTAGGACCCCGTAACTTGACCTCACACCATACTACACAGAACCTCACATCAAACACCGCAACCAAGGACCTCACACACAACGATACAGGACCTGACACTCCGTGACCCGACCTCACACCCCGTTACTCGACCTCATACCACGCGACGTATCCTTACACCCCACTACATGTCCTCACACTCCACTGCATAACCACACATCGAACATGACCTCACACCCCAAGACTCCTTAAACTCCGCGATATGACCTCACATCTCACGACGTGACTCATACCCTACTCGACCTCATACCACTCGACACACGAACTCATACATATTAAGTTCAAACATTATTAGTCTTTAGATCCAATTTTATAATTCTCCCGTTTAACCACTGACCTGTATGGATGGACAGGCTATAAGACATAATATAGTGCCTGTTTGATTTTCTGCATGGCGCCGTTTGTCGCGGTGGCAGCACTAATAATAAAATTGAATTCGTCAATTACATCAACAAGCCTATCCATTAATAGAGATCAGTGCTATTGCACAAAAATTTTCATTCTGTGTGGTTTTAATTTGTGTTAATTCACCTTTTCTTATAAGATTTTCATCACGTATTTTAAAATGTTGTTAAATCGGATGTGTTTATTACGATTTTTCGCTTTGCCTATTTTTGTATATGAATGTGGTTTTTAGAATCGTATTATAAATACAAATTCCAATATTAATGTGATTTTTAATGTCTATTGTATCTAGTATTTCAAATACACGTTCCATTAAATGTCAATATTTGGCGCGTAAACATCGCCAGTTTCTTAATTCGAAGATTCGTAAAAAAAATGCTTTTTATGAAGCCAGAATCGTCAGATGAAATTATTATACAATTTGCTGTGAAAAATAAACAATTATTTGCACATAGATCTAAGTCATTTAATCTCCTTTAGTGTGATTCAGTAAAACAATATTTTGACGCTTTTGTGCAAATATTGTAAATCGAACATTTTTATTTTAAACTCTGTTTTTTATTAAGATTTAAGAGTGTGTAAAAAAGATAAATGATTTGATGAACCAGGGTAAGATTTCTGGTGAAGCCTAAGTATGGATTCCGTCGAATTTACACTTAGGTGATAATTTGCGTATTGTTGGCAACACTGAAATTATTTTTTTAAACGTTTTTACACTTGCAACACTGCGTTAGTTAATTGAGCTTCTTAGCATAATTTTAAGCATAATTTTAGGGAAGTCGGCACTTTTATAAATCAGGTTATTTTTAACATTTTTTTTTAACTTATTTAATATGTTTTGACTAATATCGTTCATCATAGCTTTTTAATTGATGTAACGCACATTCCAGCTTATGTATTGTAGAATTAAATGTTCAAATATTAGTACAAAAGTTTGCTGCAGTTTCAGTTCTCCGTATATAACCTAGTCACTGTTTGAGATCGTTTGTTTGGATTTCCGTCGTCTCATTCCGTAGTTATAAGCACTATAATCTTTTAGGTATTTGTATATATATTGTACGATGGCTTTGTCCGTCTTTTTGAATGTGCCTCTAATAAAAAAAAATGTTTAATGATCTTTGTCTTTTATTTCAATTACTTGGATTACCCTTTTTAAATACTCGAGGTATACAAATTGTAAGGAAACTAAATATAAATTCAAACACTAAAGGCGTTTATTTACAAAATCTACAAATAGAATAACAATATAAAAATAGACAAGATTATTTACTAAATTTGTAAGTAAAGTTGCCTTAAAAGTTTTATTCAAATTCATTTGAACATCACATTCAAAACTGAATCATAAATTAATTTGTACTGTATTACTAAATTGGTTGAAGGGTTTGATATAAAACCATGTTAGAGGTCCAACGATTTTAATTCATCTATAAACAACTTAAATTAACTGTTCAACACTATTTGCTGAGAGCTCGAGCAGTCTCCAGGCCGCTTTGGGGTTGAGCTCGTTGGGGTCCCTGCACAGCACCCACACATAGTTCACTCTCATCACCTTGTCTGGATCACCTTCGAGGACATTATTCTTCGCATCTCTGACGCACATTATCTGCTGCGACTGGAATGTGATCACCAGCACGGGCCCCTGGTCCATCATCTTGCCCATCACCAGCTCGATCTGCTCTATATCCAATATCTTTGAATCCAGCCGGTAGCCGAGCTGCTTGCACTGCTTGATGGGTGTGGCCAGGATGTTGAAAACCCCTTCGTAGCACCAGTCTTTTAATATCTCCAAATCTCCTCGCACCATGGCCTCCAGTATGTTGGGGATGATATCATTAGCACAGTCTTCTAGAAACTTCTGTGCGGTGAAGTTTGGATCGATTTTGCAGATTTCCGTAAGAGTTTTGGAGAGTTCCGTCTTCTCGAATAAATTACCAAACAGACTGCCGACTTTTTCAGTGACGAATCTTGAAGCTTTCACAACCGCGTTGTCGGATTCTTCGTATCGTATTTTCCAATCAAGAACCTGCAGAATTCATTAAATTTACTGTTCATACTTCATACATACATTATTCTCAAGTGTTAAGTGTGTTTAGAAGCAAAAGTTCAATGATATAACTAAATATTTTTTTCCCGCGACTTCTTTCGCGCGGAATTTAAAAACAAACTTAGTAAGTGGCATTGTCTTAACAGATTATGTTCTACATCTGTGACAAATTTTATTAAGGTCTCTTAAGACATTCTTTTAAGGATTGTGAAGAGGGTATGCTTAAGATATGACGGCTGCTAGAGATGTATGGAAGAGCAGCACATACTGTGCCGACTCTCCGTACGGGATAAGGGTAAGTTGATGAAGCCATTTTGGAGATATATAGTAACAAACATCCATCCATCTAAACTTTTGCATTTTTAATAGTAAGATTTATCAATTTTAATTACTCATTGACCTTAAATTGTAGGTATAATGTGCAAAAACAGGTCAACATTGATTGAGAAAAGTATTCAATATCACAGATTAGTGTGATATCAGACTTTTTAAATTATTTTTATTTAGAAATATTTGAACTACTATTATTCAGTAAATAAAAAATTGAAACTCACCTTATTGACATACTGATTGTTATTCTTGAAGTTCTCCCACTGCTGGTAGAACTTGGAGTCCTTGTGCAGCTCCAGCCCCAACGTCTCCGTGTCCGGCGCGAAGCTGCGCTCCTCCTCCGCCACCTGCAACAACACACAACTATGTTACACCACAAAACAATACAACACAACAACTATAATACACAATTACTATGTACACTCAGGGAAATCCATGGTGTTCCAACAGAACAATTGCCTTGTTCCTTGCAACGAAACAAACATCACCACTTACAACATAGCCATATACGTAGTAATAGCTTTCGCCCGCGACTCCGTCCGCGGAGTGTTAAAAAAGACAAAAGTGAGTAGCCTATGTGTTCTTCTAGATTATGTCCTACATCTATGCCAGATTGATTCAGCCGTTAAGGCTACAAACATCCATCCATCTAAACTTTCACATTTATAATATTAGTATGATTGTATATAATGGGACAATTAATTGTTTCTTGAGTCTGTGTGTAATATGCTCACCTCTACCCGCTTCCGAAGCGCGAGCGGCGCGCTGTACACGCGCCCTTCCAGCCCGCGCGGAGACATCTCATTCCTCACTACTTCCGTTGCCTGAAAACACAAATGAGTACTTGTACCTATTTAAATTCCTACTAAGTTACTAGTGTACTATACATATACCTTTTTATTTACTTATTAAAACACTTGCTGGTTTTCCATCGTAATTAAGTTTCAAACACATTTATTTAGTACATACATGTTAGGTAGAGAAGGTTTTCGTATGTTTGTTTAAAATTGACTTTTATTGAATATTATTTAAGATGTAGGATAGGAAGAATGATGTAAAGACTATTCTAAATAACACTAATAGAAATATTAAATAAGGTGACAAGTACAATATGAAGTTTTCTTTTATAGAAGCTATCATGAGTTCAGTACTTCTGTATATTATTTTTGTCATAAAGTTGATTGATTTCCTGAATTCTAGTGGCCCAATAAGTAAAAATACAAACACAATAAATGAATGTTATTACTTTTTTTACATTTTACCTGTGAAATTGTCCTGAAAGCTGATGTCTGTCCGAGCCTTTGCCCTTTATCTGCTATACTTCCCGCAGCATCCTTAGCTGTTTTAGATATATCTTCTGTTATCCTTCCTGAAAACATATAAATGCATCTTTTACATATATTGTTGTATACATTTTGTCACAAATATTTTATCAATTTAAATATATTACATGTATACATTTTATTTTTTAATTGTAACCTTGTTTTTTTATTATTAATGCAATTTAAAAAAATTCAAGGTTAATTTCTGTAAATACAAGAGAATGAAATAACTAAAGTTTAGCAATAAGATGTTATTTGCAACTAAATAACATGATTTATAATCATGATAATAATAAAAGCTATAAGAATGAAAAATCTAATCAGAACTTAACTCACCAGCCTTTTTAGCAAATTCCGTTTTACTAGCCTCTTCTAGCACATGCTCCATCTTCCCTTTGATACCTTCTAATGTATCTTTCAAAACTTCTGAGCCTTTAGATGCCTCAGATTCCACAGCTTGGAACTTTTTCCTTGCGGCTTGCAGTGCTTCTGAATTTTCAAGACGTTGCGCCTCTTCTCTGAATTTTTTGATATTCTCTTTCATCTCTTTGTTTTTTGCAATATCTTCTTTGATGTTTTCAATAATGGATGAGAAGAAACCTTTTCTTGCTGAATAACTGCGGCATATTTGTACTGTAAACTATAAGTGTTACTAATAAGTAAGCTTGTTTGATGATTCAGGGTGACTTATTTGTATTTAAAAAAAACTAAAGGAGAGATTGCTTTAAAACACTTTTGTATAAATCATCATTATATATAAAATGTTATAATATTCATATAAGAATATTCAAAATTTAAAAGGCTAGGTGCACAATAATTACAAAAAATCTAATTCAGATATGAAATGAACTTAATATTATTATTCTTGAAGTTTTAGTTTAGAATTATATAATTCCCTTTTTTGTCAAACTCAACGAATAATTAATGATTTTTTACCATTCTATGATTCATTGGGCTTACCTGGTCTGAATGACATGATGCAACTACAGAGGGTTTGAAATTATTTGGTACGACACACTTCCAGCGTGCAGGGCTATTTAATATTAAACGACACGAATGCTGAAATTAAATAAATAAATTACAAAATTTATAACCTTATCATCTATGTAATACGAAGGTTATAGTGCATTTACCATAGTTGTAAATATTTACTGTCAAATATACACAAACTTCTATTGTTCAATTTAATATTCAAATATGAACGCAACCGATCTTTCGGTTTATGAGAGAAAATACCAAATAATGGTAAAAAATTAAATTATTCTTGCATTTTAGTCGACTTTTAAGTTTGGATCAGATTTGACAGTTTGACAGTTTATGATGGTCTATGGTTTATTATTTCAGACGAGATAAGACTAAATTTTCCCTGGTATAGATACAGAGCTTTTACCCAAACACTGCAAATTGACAAATCATTTTCTTTTAATGACTAACCAAATATTACTCATAAAATAGACATTAAAATCTATTTAAAACGGTTTATTTCGCTTAGCTTTTAAATAACTCGCACAGTTTACCAACAAAACTCTTTTTTCATTTCCGGAAAAAACAACTGTCATTGTCATTACTCATAGACAATTTAATTCAAAAAATTTATTTCCTGTTTAGTTTTTGTTATAAATACGTTTTTTCTTATTTTACTATTAGTACAAGTATCGTAAATTTTCGTTATAGTAAAAAGCATCTTAAGAAATAGAAATGAAATATTTTATCAAACAAAATTTAAACGTTTTCAAATGTAAGATGCTCGATGTTTTGAGTTTAAAAAAAATTCTCGCTTCCGGTGTGAACGTAGTTCCAGAAACATAAGAAAGTGTGCATTTTCATTTATTTTCTGTCGTCATTTTTGGCCACGGTTTCGTGTATGCGTTCAATGATATTTAATTTATTTCGCGTTCGATTGTAGTAGCGTGAATCGAGTTCTTTCGTGAAATTCTACCATATAACACAGAGAAAGAATTCGCGAGGCGCTTCGTCATACAGAGGAAGGTACTATCAAATATCTTCAATCCGTATTTACTTATATAGGTATACGTAGGTACTAAGTGTACTAGACACCACGTTTTCGCCAGCTGGTGCGTACGTTTCGGCTTGCGAAATTAGTTTTGCTATTGATTTATTTCTCATAATGGCAGTATGTCATAGTGTGTGTTGTTTCCAGACCGTAGTGAAGTAATATTGAATTGTGGCAGGTTGGTTACCCCGGCTAGTCGCGTGTTTCGCTGGTGCCAGCTTCTACGAAAGATCAACAATTCATCCCATCTGTGAACTCTCGTCCAGTGGGGCGCTACCATTTTATATGACTTTAGCAAGATATAAAGGTAAGTGGCCTTTTTTCCATTATTAAAAAAAAATTAAACTCGGGGTTCAAAAAGTCAAATCGACGACGTTGGTAATTGTACATATTGGTTTATATTTTCGTCTTTTTTGAAGTAATATGATGGTATTTTTATTTTATAATAATAATCTATTGCCGTATATTGTTGATAATATCTCCCATATGTTATAATAGCACTCCAATAAGACAATATCTGCAGTTAACCTTAACTACAGTTTAGTTTTCTAACAATAGAACTGAAACCTTATATCACCACGTTTTAGTTTTTTAAATATACAAGTGGATTGAATGATTATTCTAAAATAGCAGGGCTATACATATTTAGCTATAAAGTATTTTAGGCTAGAGTTTAACTAAAACTTAATATAAATGACAAGAATGTGTAAGCAAAGGTGGAAAAAAAATGTGACCCTAAATGGTTCTTATTTATAATCTAAAATGTAATATCTGCTAGAAGGATTTATACGTCTTTTATTAATATATTTTTCGACTATATTAAGTAACTAACTTAACTTTGCAAAATCTTCACTCGGAGAGAGTTGACTGTAAGGAAAATGTTAATAAAATCCATCTTGCAATTTCTCTTGTACAGTCAGTATTTCTCATAGTGTCCACTTACAAAAATAATTCCATAATGCAATAAGACAAACTTCACTATTTCTTATAAAATACTAATTATGTACCAGTGAGTTGTGTGAACAATAGAAAATAAATGCATTTGAAAAATCTTTGATTATTGTTTCTATTTTGTTTTAATGCTAATGAAACATTCAAACAATTGTTTTTAAAGTTATATACTCTTCTAAAGATTTGTAAATACATACAGTTCTTTACAATTTAAATCAGTGTACATAACTTGTGTTCGTAATATTTAAAACTAGCTCTCGCCCGCAACTCCATCCGAGTGGAATTAAAAAAAAATGAACACATAGTTCTTCCAGACTATTCTCTACATCTATGCCAAATTTCATTAAGATCCGTTCAGCCGTTAGGCTACAAACTCTAACAAACATCCATCCATCTAAACTTTTACATTTATAATACTAGTAAGATGTAAAATTTATGAATGTGTGTATGTGCATTGTAAGGAATAACAAATTGTATGCAAGCACTGATAAGGCTGTATGTAAAATTAGTGACAGCAGTTACGCTGCGGCACATAAACTGCTTATCAAACCACAAATTAAATTTAATGCTGAATGGGTTTTAATTAATTTTATGAACAAGTTGAGCTCATATTGCTAGGTATTATCGGTTTGGTTGCATATTTTAAAAATCTGCATTTTTTTATTGGCCTATGTTAATGGAATCTAATACTATTTATTCTGATTTATTTGCTAATATTAGCTATTGAATAATGCTTAAAATAATTTTTAAAAATCTTTTAGACTATCCAAAGAACGAGTTTAATATTCTAGCTTGATTCTTAGACCAGTACGCAGGCAGTGTTTTACCCAATATAGTGATGTCATACATTATTTCAAAAGATTTAAACGCGTGGCGATAAGACCCTGATAAGCAACCTCGTGCGTTGCCCGTGACACTTAGTTTTGTAAGCCACACTACTGTTTCTACAAAAACTAATTTGTTTGCACACAAAGTTTTAAACCAAAATCAGATCACATTACCAATCCATCCATCTAAACTTTCAGATTACATGTAAGATAGACCAGACGTTCATTTAGAAATTACCCCTTTGCGATTCTTCGCTACAACTACGACATTTCTAAACCCCCCCCCCCTTTCCCGTTCGACATATTGCGCCATCCGTAGAAAGAAATATGCTGCTATTGCAGCAACGGAATATAACCTCATATCCATTTCCTTTATTATCTTACATAGCGTTACTGTCAATACGACACTACAATCATAATCTATATTAAACTATTTTCGCAAACTAAAATGTAAATTTTAGCTAAAGCTTTAAAGCTAAGTAATAAAACTTAATATCATATGTAATATATAATTTTCCGCCTATTCTATTATAGGTGCTAGTATATTCCCGGGACAACTGCGCACCGGCGCAGCCTCCGCGATCGTTACGAGCCTCCCTCTCACAGCTCCCTACGACCCCCTACTTCCCCCTCACACAAGCAACACGCTCGCTAACACTAAATTGAATTCAGGATGCCTGGGATACTAAAAGCTAACCTATAAAGATAAATTCCGTCTTTGATATTACCTAAAACGTTTTATTAAATTTTAACACAAAACTTGTAATCTGCAGTCTTGAAAATTGATCATAGATCCTAATTTAGCACTAGTCGAATTTAGTTTTTTTTTTACGTTTATCAACATAGTTATATGTTATTACGGATTAAAGAAAGTTTAACAGATTCTATATGAAATTCTGTCTATACATCTACTTGGAATTACGGCAAGTTCCAGCTATTCAGGTAATATTTATTACCGAGACTGTCTTAACTTTAGAGTTAAGTTGTATTAGTGCAGCAGTGTTACGGTAATATTACATGAGTATGCCGTCACGTAAACGTATTCGCGTACGGCCGTAGTGAGGGGAAGGGTCGCTGAAAGAGGGTGCAGCGCCGCGAGAGGGGAGCAAAGCGCAGTCTGCGATCGATGCAGCCTATGCGCTGAGCTGGCAGGGTCTGGAACTGTACAATGTCAACAGGCGTATATATTCTTATAGAAATTAGTTTTTCAAAGTAACGATTTGACATAGACGTGTTTATTTGGTCCTCACTTAAATATCTTTTTAAATACATTTTCATGGAATGATTTTTCCACACGCTTTACCTAGTTTTCCTTAGCAGGATGAGTTGCTTGATGATTTTAGCAAAGATGGACTAACATGTGTCAAGTTTTACATAAGCGTGTTATAACATCGTCTGCCGGAAGCCGTCGCGGCGAGTGCGCGGTGTAGGTTATGTCAGAGGTGAACGCACTCTCCTTTTGCAGACACATGGCCAAAAGTGCAAGAACCCATAGCCAAGGCATTATATCTTAAGAATGTTCGATATTTTGACAATATGAAATTTGTGTGCATGTGTCCAATGCTGACAAATTCCATAATAAACAAGACTAGGATATAAAAACATCAAGTTTGCACAGACTAAATCTATCAAAAATATACCGCAAATATAATGATCAATCAAACTGTCATCTACGACCGGGTAGTGAGAGTTGCGTCGATTTAGTAATTACGTCAAACCGGCGTACACTTTTGCTTCGTAACAGAAGTTACAATCGCCTAGAATTCTAACTTGCTACTTCTAATTACTTTCTAGGTATCATTTTTATATATTTATGAGAGCTTTTTAGACAGAGATTGAACTCACCTCTCTGGCTTCATCCTGCTCACGTAGTGTCTATCAATTTTATAAAACCTTAGTTGATGTTATGGCCTAATTTTTGACTGGCCGCTATCTATCGCCATATGTATCAGTGATCCGACCTGACAAGGATTTTCACTTTTGTACATAAAATTAGCTGAAAATCGAAATTTGAATACAAACATACGGGTTGTTCTTGTCGTTGCCTTGCATTCCGCTGTTATCAGAATCTCGAATTCAGACCAATACAAGTAGATGTAATGTCATCAGTACTCTACAGTACGCATAAAGCTCAGTGCGACCTTACATTTGTTTAGTTCAATGGCCTGAGTGTCGCGAAACGTGAGTGCGTTAGATTAACCAGACTTCTTACTGTCTTGGTCTAGGAATATACATTCTAAGTTGCAGAATAAACAACTCTAGAGATATGACTTTTAGTTCAATATTAAGAGCAATAAATTGTTGTAAACGTGGACATGATTGCGAAGTATTCGTATTATGGTCTTATCGTTCAATCGATGACCGATTTGTCGTTGCACTTATCGTGTCGTCCCCGTGTCGTGTGGCGAGATGGTGCGCGCACGTGGGAACGCAGCCCGGCGTGACTCACCGGGGATCTCGGAGGATGACTGCATCACTTGGCCGCAACGGCACTCGTCTCGACAAACAAAAGTTTTATCGTATAAGGCGTAGTAAATATCTATGCTATTTCTCTAATGCCGATGTTTAAAATTCTCACTCACTCTGATACGATTTATCCTAAAATCTTTCTTAACTTGGCCCCTCAAGTCCGACTAGAAAAGTACATCCTTAACAAATGAACATAGCTATTCAACAATAATTACAAAGTTACTGATTATCTGTCTTAATTTTAATATACTGGTTGAAATAGCATCCTGCTTTATGTGTCAGTGGTCTCTTATAACAATAGCAGTGAGCATTTTGCGTCATCCGTCACGCTTCATTCCAGGTGAGATTATGCGTTACGCACACACCCACATACAGATATGTCTACGCATCCTGCTTGAAATTTATCGAAAATCTATAAAAACACGTACTTCGCTGAAAAATCTTTGTTCTTCTCTCGATAATTTACAAATGACAATTTTCCGCTCTCGGAATTTCCACATGTGTAAGTTAATATCGGTAGCTTTCGCGTGGGTGTGTGTTTTACAAACTGCTTTAGGATTTCCAGGAGGCGGGCGAGGTACAATCGATATCACGGCACATGCGTACGGCAGTTCAAGCCTCGCGCAATCCCCCATCCCCCTGCCAACCTAACCCATCACCCCCCGCGCTATGTCCTGCGATGCCTTCCCTGCCTCCCCATTCCCCATGAGCACGCCGAATTGCAGTCCTACACGATGATAAATTGCATCCGACGACGCAATCTGTAACTAAACCGCGCTGCAATGGCGGCTGCCATAGACAAGTGATTCTTTTTTTAATTTGTAATTGCCGCTCGCGCTGCTTGGCCACACGACTTCCGGTAATTGAGAACTTGTTCTTCAATTTGGCAAGTTTTGGAAAGTTTTGTTTACATTGTTGTTATCAGTTATATATCGTTGGCTGTGGTATTTGTACTGTTGTATTAGATTTTAATACGGCCTCTATTATAAGCTCTAGTTACATATAGACCACGTAGTTTCCATTGGACATATACGTGTCAATTAGCGTCCCGGCTGCTAATTTGTGACACGTCTGATCGATGGCTGTGATGTCATGGATCGACGGTAGCTAGATAGTGCTAGATTTGATATTTGATATTTAACTATTTACATATGATGAGTATGACAAACTCGGAGGCCTGTGAATGTTCGAATCTGAATTTAATAGTCGTATATTTCTGTTCACGAACATTAACATGGTTGGATTTTATTGGAAAACCGTAATTATTAGATCAATTGTCGATAAGGTGTCACATCACTAGCGACAATTTGCACTTTATCGATCTCTAACCTTGACTCTTGGTACGGTTTCTGCGTAGTGTCATGCCGCCGTTGCAACTCTTGTAGGGTTGCCAACCGATTTGTCTATTGTTACTATAAATAACTGAATAATGCTTAACATATTGAAAACTTTGTTAGCATTGTTTAGTACACCTATCCGTCACTTTACCTATTTTCAAAAGTGTAGGCACTTCCTACGTCTTCCTAAGTCTTGTCTATTCCAACTCTGAAAGATTACTTTTCTCAGCTAGGCTCAACATTTTTCTAGTTTTGATATAGCATAAATGTATATGTGTTACAATTTGATGTAAATGTGCCAACCCTGCATAGATAGACAATATGTAAACAGGATGCAGTTCAGGCATTAAGAGACGACCAGGGCACGGTCACGCGGCCCGTGGGATTGTACGCATGTAACCTGACATTCGTGTTTGATACATTTGTAGTCGCACTGTCTTACATGTCTCGTTACATTTACGGACGTTTTTAAATTACTGACTGATTGTCACATGAAATAGATTCTCTATTGTCTACTAAATCAATATGTAGACCTCTAAAGTATAGATGGCTCCTACGTTTTTTTTTATACAACAAAAAAGCGGCCACCTAAATCCGCCAAATTAGCGAAGCGACCGCTACCCATAGACATCTGCAATTGCAAATGCCTACCCTAAATCGACAGAGGATGAGACGCACGTAAAGAGAATATTTTCCCTTTCTATGCGTCTCCTCTACCGTCAAATCCACTTTCCCTTCCAATACTTTCCTTAATAGAAAAAGGTGTGACGAGAAAGGGACTAAAATTGGGCTTCCGGCACCAAACGTTTACTATTGTATGTTTGGAACGATAATTTTAAAAAACAAACCTTTAAACAATTATGGATATTACGACGCATCAAACATGCAAATACGATAGACAATCAAATTCTACTTATTTCTAATTACAAATTTAAATGTAAACCAGTATTTAAAAAGTTAATTAAAAAAAACTTGTGAGGTGTCTCGTCAATTACTTGTAATGTGACGAATAATCTAGTAACCATTTATGATCTACATTTCAAGTCTCCCTTAGTGAGCAACACTGAGTGCTGCAGTGATTGTGCGTTACGTGTTTATATACAGAAAGTAATTAATTAATGTAAAATTATAGATTTTGTAGGCGAAACAATTTCTTCAACGTTGTATTTCGTCAGCGGGCGAGTTGCGCAATGGAAGTGAATGTGATTAAAAAGCCATTTCACGTTTGGTTAGCTCGCGGCTGTAATTTTATTGCGAGTAACAAAAAGTTGTGAAGCAACCGTTTAGTTTAAACTATATTCTCATTTATTGGAACTTGATTTTTAGTTTTAAATCTCAAAATTTAAAATTAACAAGTTAATCCGACGCATAATAAGTTTTAAGAAAAATCCAAAAACTAACCTAAACATATTGAATTTATTTAAAGTTTTTGTTCAATCGATAATTTATTATACAGTTACGATCTACATTGTATAGAGTGAGGTCTCCATCGCATGAAAGGCTCTAAACTTACAGCCAGTGTTCTAGCCCACTGATTGATATCTAGTGGCCGCCGCAATACAAGGTAAAACAAGTAATATCGCTAGTCATTAGTTCTCATATTCCGATATTAACATATCTATAATCTCACGTGACTACATTTGATTAGCACCGATATTGTAGAAGTCGGTCAAATATGCAAGTAACGATAGATGTGGACGTCTACATTTAAATACAAAGATTTGAATATGTTAAACAATGCATCGTTCCGCTACAGCTGTGCGCTGGTGACCGAAACGTCGGTCTGTCGATTAAATGTTTGTCTAATGATTGTCGTGTAAATGACAACATTGTCGTAGGTTGTGCACAACGAGCGTAGTTAAGACGAAAGCTCGCTACTATAGCAGTTAACTCTAAAGCATTAAGGATCATTTTCCGGAGACTGTATAATGCATACTCGCGTGTGCATGTTTACAAAGATTTCCCGTGTTGTGTTATTGTGACACTAATATGATACGGTGGAATGCAAGCAACATGATCTCGGTGTCGAGTTGTCAACCGAGCTCTGATTTGCCGAAGCTATGCAAAATGATAGCATTAATTAATGTAAAAGCAAGCTATTATTCACTAATTATGCATTCTTTCGGTTTTCATTCAAACCTAATACCATCGGTTGGTAAAATGGACAGTTTTTATTCAAATATTATTATGTATTTAACTAAATGAGCATCGACGACACAGCATTGTGTACTGCCGGACGCGTCTTATACATAACTTCTCATAATTAAACACAATGTCTCATTCATTGTATTTCTCACAGATTTATTTTTCGTTTTTGTTATCGTACAACACGAGTTAGAGAATCTAAAGTCATACAACTATTCCAGTACAAAAGTTAATTGAATAATTGTCCTAAATACGATGTCCTGCATATGCAAGTGTCAACCAGTTTGTCCTTGGCCGTGGCTGTGGGCGTGAGGCGGCTACGGGTGCGAACCGACCCGAGGTATCTAGTGTCGACCGGCTCTTTATCAACTTATCCCAATGTAGGGGAAATCTTGATGATACTGTTTATGTTGCCATTAACGATATAATTAGGCAAACAAGCTCTCTACGTAGTAATTATATTGTGAAGGTGATAAGGTCTGATGTATTTTAAAACAAAGAAAAAGATTAACAAAACTTTTGCTCAAAGTGCAGTGTAGCAATACGTCGTGGGGCGTAGTTCCACGTGTAGACGGGGCCGCATTGCGGATAGTGTAGATTGTAGATTAACCCACCCAGCATTGTTTAGTTTTTGTAGCGACACCCGGCTTGAGCACCCCTGAACAACTCTCTGGTATAGGCTGAGTGCATGACTCGAGTTGAAGCTTTGTTATTCTAGCTAAAAACTAAAAAGCACCTGGGGTAGTAGATAGATATTAAATTAGCTTTTAGAATTGAAATATTATATTAAGGTTATGTAAGTTATTTAGTTTTAGGAATTCTACATCGTTATAATATGTTTATTTTTTGTACATATCGATTTGCTTTAATCTACGTATGCGAAATTTTATAGCGAATTTTGCTCCGCGCATGGTCCACAACCGGCCAATCGCTGGCCAACGCTCAAGGACAAAGGTGTACGACTAGTTAAATTGTCACCGGCATTACTATACAAAGGAGTTTAGTCGTTACAGCAAAGTGATATAGTCTACAGTCGTCTGGTATATGAACTAGGAGCGCTGTTATCGTATGGTATACGCGAATTACGCGATGTTTTGAGTTAGCAAGTATGTTGCACAGGGCTGTCAATATTTTTTTTTTGTAATTGTTGATTACCTTGAAATTGAAAATAAGTGTAATATATTTAGCGATTTGGTATGTTAAAAATAATTTTAAGTGACAAAGAGGAAAGTCATACTAAACTAATAAAATGTTATTTTACCACTGAACCACCAGTCGCAGTATGTCAGTTGGATGAAATAAGTAATGATTTGCAACTTTCATCGCTAAGAAATAATACGACACTGGATTGAATTAATTTATGACAACCCTAAGATCCTATGTCAGGTTTCGCAGCAGCCACGCGTAGCGTCTTTCGTTCTAGCGCGTCGTTGTTCAGATTTACTATAAAACGATTTGTAAATTTGTTTTTGGCGCTGTGACGTCAGCATGGTAATTTGTCACTTGCACGGAACTGGTTCGTGTTATGCACGCGCTCGAGTATTTTTTATTGCCTTTTAAGCTGGATGTTTTAAATGTTTTTACACAAGATCTGTTCCATATCAAATATTGTAGCAGTAAGACGTCAAATAAGTCATGATAAAGCGTGTTTGATATTTCCGCACGTCATACATTTTGATATGACGATTAGGGAATAAAATTAACCAATCTATTTAATTAATAAAATGAGATATAACACGAATATATTTATATAAAATATTGTTGTAGGCTGTACAAGGGTATATTTAATCTTATTCAAGAAATTAAAGGAAGGGAATCCTGTACTCTATAGGCTTTCAGTGATGTATCTCATCCAATGCTATCCACTCTAATCCTACTAATCAATGAAATATCCTTTCATTGCCATTAGTCAAATTACTTCAACCTTTTGATCAGTGTTCTGATTTAACCACATGCACGCATTTGAGTATGAATGTCGATATTCTGTAACGAACTGGAAATACGTTAGTTTGATGGTAAACTAGTTCGTATATTTGTCAGCCAAGATTTTTTAAACTTGAATCTTGCTTCGTACAACAGATGGTTTGATGTGTGTACGTGTGTTGTTACAGAGGCATCAGTACAGAGCGCGGAGAGCGG